ATGATAAGCTCTCCGAAAAGGTGGCTTTTTAGCGGCATGTTTTAAAATGATAGTCAAAATACATTTTAACTTATATGTGACTTACTTTGACGAAAAACAAAGCATAGATTTATAAGTATCTTGTAACAGTTTCCAAAAATACTCATTTGCCATTTAGATTAATTATACATGTGTATATGCTCCTTTTGCTTTGCTGGCACTTAGTATAATAATTGTGAATAAGTCAAAATACTAGATTGTTTACATTTTTTCTACCTTTACTTTGTTTACATGTTTTCGACAAATTACTGCACATTCAGCGTTACTCTCAACCTAACATGTGTAAACCCATAATTAAACACATATTTGATATTTTCTAAAGAATTTAATAAAAATGAATTTTTTGGGGCATAATGTGCCTTGAATTAATTAAAAACTAATGATTTATCAATGAAATTATCTTTCTGACTGGATTTCAGAACATAAATGTTGTCTCTAAAAGAACTCAAGAAAGTGTAGGTGGTTCGAAAAGATAAAAATACCCTGACACAGTCTAATACAGTATAAATTGAACTTCGTCCTGTCTAATGACGTAATCGCATAATAAGAGTCCACTTAGAAATGCAGAGACAAGAAGACACTTGACTTTTTTCTGTCTTAAACATCTCTTTAATCGCTGTTCATTAGCACACTTTCCTATTTTTATTGTTCAGCTACTGCGTGCTGTGATAGTTCACTTGTATCATGTATCTTAAAGTTTGCGTTGAAATAGCGTTTGTTTAAATGTTTAAGGACCATTAATTACCCACTGACAACACACGCTTGTAGTTAATTGCTTTTAATATTTGGACTGGTTGCAGCATTTACATTTTACTAACATTTTCTCTGGTGTTTTCGTCATATTAAATGTAATAGCAGCGTTATAAACATGCAACATCTAGTTCTTTGATAAGTCAATTGAGTGGTGGCGTGGCTGAGCTGTTAAACGCGTAGGATTTGTAATATAAGGATTGTGGCCGTGTGAGTATTGACCCTGTCAGAGGCAAGCCGTTGTTTCATTGAGCAAGGAACTTTACATTTATTGCTTTGTACCGGTTAGTTCTAGGAACGGATTCGAGAGTATCTTTAAATTTATAAGCGTGTAGCTTCCAACATAATATAACTAACATAAAGTTGTAATTACTAAATACTTTGAAACTTGTACACGATGATATAGTTATACGGTTAAAATCGCATAATTTTATTATCGTCAATTTATTTTAATTGATAGTGATTATTATTGATTTGCTTTGATTCGTTTCCATTTCCACTTTCCGAAAATCCGTGTCAAATACATACCGTACACCATATACCAGTAGCCTCGTTTTCATTTTCAGAGTCCGAAATATCTATATCAAATGGATATCGTTCTCCGTGTAGCCTTGTTTTCATTTCAAGTCCAAATATTTATATCTAATCTTTATCTAACTTTGAACAACAAACTTCTGTCAAAATGTTAAACAAAATGTTGGTGAAAACATATAGAGGTCATTACACATTGTTGTGATATTGGACACGTACACAGCTGTAAAATCTACATCAGACTCGTCCAATATAGTTTAGACAGCTGTGTACGTGTCCAGTAAAATTCAGAATTGTACTCAATTATGTATGATAAAACCATTATATCATTATATTTCTATCTGTCGTGCTGTCTTATTACTTCCGTAACATACCATTTTTAATCCCCTTCTGCATAGGGAAAGGGGGTTATAGGAATGGCCTCCGTCTGTCAGTCCGTCCGTCTTTCTGTCCGTCCGTCCGTCCGTCTGTAACACTTCCGTGTCCGCTCCATATCGTTTAAAACATTGAAATGTTTTAGAATAACTTGGCACAAGTGATCACCATAATGAGACGATGTGCAGAGTGCAAAAACTGGGTTGCTACCCTCAAGGTCAAGGTCACACTTAAAGGTAAAATGTTAAAAGTTTTCATTTCATAATCAAAAGTCTACATTTCGTGACCGCTCCCTAACTTTTAACTGCTCATTTTTTTTTGTAATAGCTTGCCACAAGTGATCACCAAAATGAGACGATGTGCACAGCGCAATTATTTGGTTGCTACCCTCAAGGTCAATGTCACACTTAAAGGTCAAATGTTAAAAAGTCTTCATTTCATAATCAAAAGTCTACATTTCGTAACCGTTCCATAACTATTTAACTGCTTAATTTTTTTTAAATACTTTGCCACAAGTGACCACCAAATGAGACAATGTGCATAGCGCAGTAATTGGGTTGCTACCCCCAAGGGCAATGTCAGACTTAAAGGTCAAATGTTAAAAAGTGTTCTTTTCATATCAAAAGTCTTTATTTCGTGACCGTTTCCCAATATTTTAACCGCTGAAATTTTTTTGAAATAACTTGTCACAACTGATCATTATAATAAGATGACGTGCAAAGCGCAATAATTGGCTTGTAACCAAAAAGGTCAAGGTCATTCTTTAAGGAATAATGTTGAAAGTCATTTCATGACAGTTCCATAACTTTTTAACAGCTGAAATTTGTTAAAAATAACTTTGCATTATTGATAACCATTATGAGAACATGTGCAGAGGGCAATAATTGGGTTGCCACCCCCAAGGTAAAAGTAACACTTGAACGCCAAATGTATAAAAGTCTGCAATTCGTGTCCCCTCCTTACTTTTAAACCTCTGTTTTTTTTAAATAGCTTGGCACAAGTGATCACCATTCTGAGACAATGTGCAGAAGGCAATACATGTAATTTGGTTGCTATCCCCAAGGTCAAGGTCACATTCAAGGTCAAGTGTAAAGAGGGGTACAATTCGCGTCCGCTCCATAACTTTAAAACTGCGGAAAGTTTGTTTTTTAATAACTTGGCACCTGTGTGATCACCTTTATGAGACGATGTGCAGAGCCCAATAATTGAATTGCTACACCCAAGGTCAAGGTCACACTTACAGGTCAAATGTTAAAACGTCTACATTTCGTGTCTATAACATAATGTTTTTAAGATAACTTATGAAATGATCACCATTTTGATACCATTGGCAGAGCACAATAATCAAATCACAACCCTGATGGTCAGTGTCACACTCAAAGGTCCAATGTAAAAAGCATATATTTTTAATGTCCGTTTTATAACTTATTGACAATTCAAAGGTTTTAAAATTACTTGACACAAATGATCACCACCATGACACAATCTGCAGCGTTCAACATCCAGGTTGCTACCCCCAAGGTCAAGGTTAGATGTTCTCCATAACTATTTTACTTTATGGAAGATTTCAAATAACATGACATAAATAATCACCATCATGAAACTATGTGCTTATGATATGCATGGCATATCATCAAGGTCGTGGCTGTCAAAAGGTGAAGAAATACTCATTCATGTTCACTCGGAAGGGGATTAAGCAGTCATTCAGACTGCCTTGTGTCATTTTACAGCTGTAATATTATTAAGAAGATTGGACGATTTTTCGCGAGGCGGGAATCTTGTATATATGCATTACACTTGTGTTGAATGTTTTCCATTCAACGGGCGCTACTGAAAGGGTAAAGTTGTTCCTATTTCGCTTAATCGAACCTTATATAATTAATTTAATTATTTTTAGTTATTAAATTATATACATTGTACGTTGCATACGGACAAAAAAATTGAGCCCTGGTTGTAAAATGTAGATACATTAATTTTCTGTGTTATTGTATCACGGATGAGAATATCCCGTCATCCATATCTTGCGATCAGCTAAGCTCTTGCTGCGGGTACAGGTTTTTTATCGGTTATAATGGTTTTGTTGCCTGTTCTATGACGGATTTCATGTGGTCTTTTACATCAGCGTTAGGTGATATAAAAATCAAATACATATAAAATGCATTCAGTGTTATCATACCATTATTTCATCATAGATATGTCACTTTGTTGTATGTCTGAAATGGTTCAATACTATTTCATAATTGACGACAATTTTTATACCAGGAATAGTGTCCGTTGGATAGAAGAAAATGTTTGTCAGCTAAATAATATATACCGCTCGAAACCAATGTGTTCTTGTAACTAAGGGGGCAGCTAATCTTATTGTTATGAGAACATATGCTTAATATGTTCAATAATTGCATTAAACATAAAAGTTATAATAAGGCTATGCTTGGCATTTTAATTTCACTTTAATGAGAGTATTAAATTTCTATGATATTGTGTGTTTGCTTTAATAATACAAACACGCTAATGTCGAGGGACGCGTAGCAAGATAGATAGGTGAGCAACACTCAATAATAAAACAATTTATTATATCAACAAAATATCATCATATTTACATATTCAAATAAAGATACAATAATACAGCCACATTTAATATTTTCTGCTTATTTTTTATGAGATCTTATATCATATCCAAAAGCAATGCTGATATAATTCTTTAGTCGACTGTCAGAATGATCCTCAGACTGAAAAAATAATCTTAATCATACATTAAAATAGCACTTACTTTAAAACATTTCTAAGTGGTTCTTTAAATAGCACTCCATTGGGACTTTCATTACAGCACACCAGCACTTGTTTAACTAGATTTTTAACAAATAAATCGACATTTGTATGAAAGCAAGCTATGGTGGTGAACGAAATCAAAGTAATACAATGTCTATAAGAAACAACCTATTTTCACATATATACTTTTCATTTGTCGAAAATACATTGTAATACTTTGTTCTTTCGATTATTTGTCCATTTCTGCATGTTTGTTAAATGCAACAGTTAACTCTTTTTTTAATGTTCCTTTTATGATGAGTGATCAAAAATCATATTTTTTGCGATGGTTCTGTAAGTTACATAAAAAATCTTTATTGTATAAAGTACAAAGCAGCCCTTGAATAAGACAACAACAAAAAAAACAACAAAAAAAAACAAAAAAAAAACACACACACACACACACAAAACAAACTGCCATCAAAAATTGAATATCGACACATGTTTTACACAAAAATAACGAAAACAACATTATACTTGTATTTCATAATCTTCTATCAAGTGGCAGCACTTTTATCACTGCTTTCTTTTTCGGGAAAATCTTTAGAACTAGTGTTTGATAATGAGTTATTACCCAATCTATCATTTAATGCAGGTTTGTAGCAGTTTCTGATATTTCTAGTTCGTAAAGCAATAAAAGCGCTGTAGTTTGCCTGAGCGGGAGGGTTCTTTCCTCTGCCGCACAAAAGACCTATAAAAGTTCGTCGGAATAAACCGCCAAAAAGATAGTACACAATAAAGTTGACTGTTAATGATAAATAGTATATCAGTTGTGCTATTGATTGAACTATTACATCAATGGGTGTGGTGATATCTATTTGATCCTTAATAAATGATATGACGATAAGGCGTATTCGTACCACATGTAAGGGAAGGTTCAGGATGATAAAAATAAGAATAACTGCAAGCAGCATTGTTTTGACCTTCATTGTGAGGTCATTGCTGATTTGTGAGGACACTGAACTTAGACGCCGCCGCCGCTCATACAGAACAACCGAGGACACTACTATTCTAAAGACCAGAAATGACATAACTGCGATTGGGACAAAAAGTGTAAACAAACTATCGACATACTGCATGATCTTAAGGATGTTGTGATGATTAGGGTGTGGAGCACATTGTTCAGCCATTGTCCACAATGGAAAATTGTAGCAGCATATGACTATTACAAATAACAATATCACGGCATATTTTGCTGTCGATGTATTACATAATTTATTCACCATGAATGGTTTACAAACCCTGATGTAATTTTCTATTGTAACAAAAACCATGAGCCAAACGGAGAGACAGCCAAAAACGTACGTGAGGAAGACAATAACCCGACAGACGCCATCTATTCGACTAAGCTGCAGACCAAATACTGATGATATCCACATAACCAAAAGAGTTATCAGGAATCCGTTGTCGCTGAAACTCCTTGCTGCTAGGAATACACTGCATGACTTTGATCTCAAACACTTTCGAGTAAACACAACTATTGAAAACGTATTGCCTGTCAAACCTAGCAAACATATGACTGGTACAGCAAACATTTCAACTGATGCAATCATGTTTTCAGCTTTTCTGATGTGAGCATCTTTGCTGAAATTTCCGGCATCTGTATTTGAAGTATTTTCCATCGTGTCTCCAGACACAATTATGTTCTGTTCCTTCCTGGAGTGAAATAGAAAGGTGAGTAAAGTTCATGTCGATATCAAATCATAATTTATGATCGCACTGTTAGATACAAAACAAGAAATATATGATGGATGAATGAATTAATGAATAAATAAATGAATCAATGAATTATTAAATGACTGAATAAAGGAATAAATAGATAAATAAATAAATAAATAAATGAATAAATAGATAAATGAATAAATAAAAAAATATATAAATAGATATATAAATAAATAAATTAAATAGATAAATAAATAAATAAAGTAATAAATAGATAAATAAATAAATAAAGTAATTAACAAAAATAATAAGGTTTTCTATAACGATAAAGTAAACATGATCGACGCATTTTTATCAGAAAATGTTCATGAAAATAAAAACGTTATTTTTCATAAATGGGATACAAAACTAAATCCCATGGTTTGTTTGATGGGGAATGTTTAAGAAAACGGAAACAGTTTTATAACAATGTTTATATTTTCAATAATAATAAAACAGATGACAATCGTAACTTGATGGCTGATACAAGAAAGGATATAAAAAGATAATAAGAAGCAAACAATATTGAAATAGAAAAGAAAATATTGATAAGTTTATAAAGTCAAGATATAGAAATGCAAAACTTTATTGGAAGTTACTTAAGGGATCTGTAAGTAAATGTAGTTCTCCCAAAATAGGTGCAGATACATTTGCGAATTATTTTAGCGCAATTAATAATTCAGATAGCCATCAAGCTGATGATGATATTTTATATTTTAACGATATGATTCTTAATAACAAAATACAAGTTATGTTCGAAGAATAACATGTCGAAATAACAATTTCAGAAATTACCAAAACGTTTAAGCAGTTAAAGTGTAACATGGCAAGTGGACCAGAAAAGTTTTTAAATGAATTTTTTATAAATGGTGCTGATCAATTAAAAAGTTACTTTCATGTGTTATTTAATTGTTGTTTAAGCATGGGTTATTTTCCTGAGCAATGGAGTCAGGGTTTTGTTGTTCCGATCCATAAGTCTAGTGATAAGAATGAACATGGAAACTACCGTGGAAAACTACCTGGTAAAAACATTAATGAGTAAATTTGGCACATTGTTTACCCAAAATTTGACCACAGAATTTGCGTTTCTTGTATAATGATCAGGAGTTAGATTTGTACCACGCTTTAAATATCCAAGTGTGTTATTTACGTCAGGTGGTTCATAAATTCAGCATGATAAGTTGTTAGCTGGACAAGCTCTAAAAGTTATTTACAAGATGAATAAATATTGATCTATTACCCAAACATACACTTGATTTATTTGATAAGTTTATCATGCCAATTTTAATGTATTCATCAGAGGTTTGGGGTTTAATAAAGTGCCACATGTAGAAAGAACAAATTTAAGTTTTTGTAATGATTGTTTAGTGTTAAAGCATCTACATGTACCCAAAAAATGATTTTGAATATGGCGAGCTTGGTAGAATAAGTTAAGTTTAAACAATATTCTATTTTACAGCATAAATATATACCGTAAGCATATACAATCACACTTATATATTTCGTGGATTGGAAAACAAGTTAAATGTGACTTACGTAAATTCATTTCAAAGATAAGCTACTTGCAATACAAAATATGCACATTCTTAGTTAAAATAATACAGAAAAAAGGAATTCAGATAAATTATTGAACTGAATAAATTTGTTAGAACATTATTATCTACAGCAGTAGAATTAGCAAGATTATTTGATAATATTGGAAAATTACTCCAAGAAATTTTTATTACAAAGTAAAATATTGTTTAAACTAATATTCAATTTAAGTAAATCTTTTCAGATGATTTTATTTAGAATTTTTCGAAGAAAAAAGAGACAACATATTTAAATAAAGTTTTGAATTAAGATAATGAATAGAGAATATATGTCTGCACACAATATTATCGGGAAGTGATGGAAATTAAAATCTTGATTTAAGTTAGGCCAAAAGGCGTAAACCATATAAACTAGTTTTACTCTTTAAAATATACAATGGAATTACTCCAAACTATCTCTCTGATCTGACACTCAAGACAACGAGTCCTTATTTAATGTAGGAAGTTGTATAAGCCAAATAATGCACGCACGTCTTCGTTTAGATTGTAGCTCCATGAACTTGGACCTTCATAGAAAGTTTATTATCCAGTCTCCATTTTTTTTGTGTGGCGAAATAAAGACAGTGCATCACTTTTTATTTGATGCCCTCGTTATAATATTATCAGAAATCATGCATTTACGTCCCCTTCCATGTCACCTGACACTTAACAATCTCTTGTACGGAGATGAGCGCCTCAGCCTTAACACGAACGAAAAATTCATAAAATCTTAAAAGTCAACAGTTTATCCTTGCTTCCAAATCTTTTTACTAGAATAAGTTTGATATCATATAGAATGTTTATTGTTATAAAATATTGGTTAAAATATTAATATGTCCAGAATCAAAATAGCTTAGAAATATTTTTTGATGTTAAAGAATGACGCAGATAACGTACTAAATGTAACTTACTGGTTTGCTAATGGAAAGAGCTTACTAATAAAACTAGGATTTAAACCAAGGTATTGAAAATAAATAACTATTTTTCATTGATTTAAAAGCAAAGATAAAATATATTTTGCTGATTGTCCTTAATAACAGATTAGAAAACACCACAAGAACACTGTTTTTAAGACATAAGTTAGATTTAATTTTAGCAATTATCTAAATGTTATAAATATCCGTAAGTACAGAATAGCTTAAGCACGTTAACGCATGCCATCTCATAGATTAGCTTCAGAGTCTGGTAGATTCAGAAAACCAGAATGTGTTACTTTTAATGAACGACTGTGTCATATTTGTAATATAATTTGAAAATGAATACAATTTTGAACTTGTACGTTGGTGAATGTATCAATTTTAACACTATGTATCATTTGTGGATAATGCCCCTTTTTAAGAAAGAGTAAAATCCTTAACTGATATTAATATATTATCTTGTAGCATCCTACCTTGTAATCCATATTATTATATAGTATTTTGTCTTATTGTAATATTTATATTATTCTGCCTCTCCAAAGCGAAATGTCATGTGAAACCACGCTTTGTTTATATCTTGTTTACTAAAACCTTTTGGTTTGGTAATTTTATAAGACACGTATCGTGAGCAACCTCAAAGTGTATGAGCTACTTTCCCATTTACCAAAGAATCATTTCAAGTGAATACACATGCCATCAGGAATATTCTGTTATTGACATGGATCTGTTGTAATGACGTTTGTCAGATTACATGAGCTTTGATATAACATGACGATTTAGTACAATCTGCAAAACAAAAATGAATTCAAAATATATATTCCTGTTTTGCAATCTATAGAAATAGCACGTATGCGAAGATTTATTTTAACCCATTTGTTTACTATACTTTAACTATACAACTTAACTTAAAAGCAAACTTATTTAATTATTGCAATTCTGTATGTAATGTAGGATGGAAGGAATTGATATATACAATATTCAACCTGCATTTAACACTCGTGGAGCGATAATAATCATTTTTTTATTTTTTTTAAATATTTTTTTTTATTTTACACTCCTACTTTCACGTATACATGTATGCCAATGTGATTTGTCTGATGATGATATGTAACTGATCTAATCAATAAAATGTATTGTTGTTGTTGATTGTTAAATTTCTTCTGTATGAATTATCTTTTACATAATATGAATAATTCATTTTAGATAGTTGTATTTAAGACACATATGACTTTATCGTAAATATTTTAGTGTTTCATGACGAGAAGGAACAACACTCTCTCACTACCACATAAATGACGGAACTATCGGTAAATGTATGTACATTCCAAATATAACCTATGTTCGTTACAACTATTACGTATGTAAGTTACAAATATCAAGTATGCACGTTACAAATATTAAGTATGTACGTAACAAATATAATTCTATTATATTATTTCATTATGTGTTATTTTCACTATATTAAATAGTTATTGAAGCACAAAATATGATTTAAAATGTTTTCTTTTTAAAAACTAATTTGCTTTAATTGTATCTAATTTTTGATAATTAATATTGAAAAATTAAAACAGAAGTTTACATAATTATATCTCATTTTTTATTCGTTTCAATAAAGGATAAGTAAAATAAAAATAAAAATAATTCTGTTTAACGACTGGTGGATATCTAAACAAGAGAGTCGCGATGGTCCCGAAATCGCTCACCTGCATATAAGCCCCTGGGCAAGGCCAAATTCAAACCAGGGGCTTTTATTTGAACAATCTTGGTAGACATTCATTAGAAGATGTTTTATGATAAATATATAAGTTCTAGCTCTTTTGGGCTGTAATAAGAAGTTTTTTTAAAAGTTTTTACTATATACATATAGGGAAAAACAATGATCCCCTGGGAGGGGCCAATTTTGACCCAAGTGCATTTATTTGAACAAACGTTGTAGACACCCATTAGAAGATGTTGCATGCTTAATATCTGAACTCTAGCTTTTTGTTTTTAGCTCACCTGTCACAAAGTGACAGGGTGAGCTTTTGTGATCGCTTTTCGTCCGGCGTCCGTCCGTCGTCCGTCCGTCGTCCGTCCGTCGTCCGTAAACTTTTACTTTAAATGACATCTCCTCATAAACCACAAGGCCAATTTCATCCAAACTTCACAGGAATGTTCCTTTGGTGGTCACCTTTAAAAATTGTTCAAAGAATTTAATTCCATGCAGAACTCTGGTTGCCATGGCAACCGAAAGAAAAAACTTTAAATATCTTCTTTTAAAAAAACCCTGAGAGCTAGAGCTAAGATATTTAGCATGAAATATCTTCTAGTGAGTGTCTACCAAGTTTGTTCAAATAAAAGCTCTGGGGTCAAAATTGGCCCCGCCCCGGGGTCATTGATTTTCCCTATATGCATATAGTAAAAACTTAAAAAAGTCTTCTTTTAAAGATCCCA